CCCCGATGAAAAAGCAATTCCAGGTAAATGATACAATGCATGCCCTGCTGCCACTTAACACCAAAGTGCTACTGAGGATGGTTTGAAATTGAAATTTCCTGGCTTTGAATGGTGGCATGGTCAAACATGAGCCGATCTCCTGTATGCTGTTCTGTTACTAACTGTATCTGTCCTGTTGTGCTATGGAGAGCTGGATGATGGTCATGCCTCAAAGGTCTTGTTACCTACACTTTATCTCACTGGTATCCAGGTACAACTGTACTGGATGTCCTCCAAAAATGCATTCCCAAAGCAAAAAGTCCTATCCTGGTGCAGAGATGCAGGTAGGCATCATCCCACCACAGCAGTGGGCCAGGGCAGCTGAAGCCCGAGGTGGCAGACACAGCTGATGGGGGCTTCTCCTTGCAGATGGTGCTGTGAGGTGAGGTCGTGTTGCTGCTTTGGGATGGAGGAGAGTGGCGGTGTCCTCCCATTCCAGGGATAAGTGACTGACTTTTACAAACCAGTCCAGCAGCCCCAGCCGTGGAATCAGAGGCAATGTGCATCACAGAATATTTTTGTGTTTAACCTGTGCTTGTCCAGAAGAGCCCTGATCACACCAACACCACAGTAATTACCAAAAATGTGCCAAAGCCCAATCCAAGAGCTGCAATTGCCTCCTTCCAAGCTTAAAACCTTCGCTCAATGCCTCTAACAAACATTCTCACTGTACCGTACTGCAACCAGTTCCTGATGCCTGCACACTCCTCTTACTCAGCCCAGCTCACTTGGGGATGTCACCCTTCAGTCCTGGACCTAAGCCTCAGCACCTGTGGGGACCGGGATGCTTCTGTGCAGCAGTGGCAGCCCCAAAGGGTCATAACCACCCACACACACATCCCCCCCTCTCTCCAGGCCCTTCACTGAAGTCAAGGGCAATGGGTCCTTTCGTGGAGCTGCAGCTTGTGTGCTCCCCCCTGCCCCGGATTCGGAGCCTGCATGCTCGCCGTGGGCTCATGGAGGACATGAGCCGGCTGACAGGGCAAGGGGTGGGAGGTGATGCCTGCAGGCCTGTGGGGAGATGGGAGCATGCAGGACCCCATGGGGCAGTGGCCTTTTTGTGGCTTTGTCAAGCTCTGGCCACCCCAAGGGAGTGATGTGCAGCACAGCATCTTCACGGCTGTTCTGCCAGTGCCACATTTCCTACAGCGCAGGTGCCCAACCTGGGGGTCATGTCGTGTGTCCCCGTTCCCCCTGTCTGAGCACCCGCTGGCTGCACCAGCTGCCCCTTTGCTGCAGAAAGGCACGTGGGGATGGTTCTAGCTCAAGGCTCAATGTAAGGCGCATTTTTTTGGGGTCAGAGGCCCAAATCCAAGTGGAAAAAAGCAGTGAGTGGTGACGCTGGGTGAGGCGGTGGCATGGTACCAGCCAAACCCAGGATGTGATTCCTGGACAGTTTTAGGGGGACAGGTAACTGACAATGCTTTGTAAAACAAAGGCTGATTTTTCACCAGCAGCCATGCAATGCAGCATCACCCAGATGGCAAAAACCTGTGGGGTGCTCCCGTGGCAGCAGCAGTGGGAAGGCAGCCAGAGGTACCACTGGCCCCACACGACGTGTGACACTTTTAGACTATGTCCCCGTGCCATGGCAGGCCCCAGGGACAAAGCAGTTCCTTTGATCACCTTGGCTTTTCCCTCCTGACGTCCGAATGCGTGATTGATCCTCAACCACAGCAGCGATGGGGCCTCGGCGAGGCGCAGGGACAGAGGGGAGAAGGAGGCAGCAAGGTAAGCGTGTGCTGCCCAAAGCACCAGGGTTGCCGAGAGAGGCCAGCGGCTGTTATCGCAGGCTGCCACGGGAAGCTGACAGGAGAAACAAATGGGAAAGGGGAAAGAGCAGCGACAACAAACCCAGCAGCAAAATCTCCTCTCTGCCAGCCAGCCGGGGCAAGCGCTGCGGGGTCCTCCCAGCAGTACTGAACCGGAGGGCTGGGGTGAGGGGGGTGGGCAAACCAAACACAGCCAGTGCGACCAAGTCCAGGCACTTGCCCAAAGGAAAATAGGGCAAGCAGACAGCTAGACCCAAAAGGAAATATAAAAGCAACAGCAGAAAAAAAAATTTTTAAAAAATCCCCAAAGGCATCAAATGTGGTTGTTTTTTTTTTTAGCTTGCATATTTTTTAATGAAGTAAAAAAGAAAAATAAAAGAAAGAAATACTCCACGGATGTTGTCAGCTTGGCGCAGAAGGCCCTTGTGCATGGAGGACACCGGGGTCCCCATGCAGCTGGCACTCA